TTCATATCAGTCAAAGGTTTTATTTGTCCCGTTTAGTTGGTGATTCCGGTTCTGACGGAAATTTCATGTCTGTCAAAGGTTTTAATTTGTCCCGTTTAGTTGGTGATTCCGGTTCTGACGGAGATTTCATGTCTGTCAAAGGTTTCAATTTGTCCTCTCCTAACATCGATTTAGGTTCATCTGGAGTTTTCATATCAGTCAAAGGTTTCAATTTATCCCGTTTAGTTGGTGATTCCGGTTCCAACGGAGATTTCGTGTCTTTCAAAGGTTTCAATTTGTCCTCTCCTAACATCGATTTAGGTTCATCTGGAGTTTTCATATCAGTCAAAGGTTTTAATTTATCCTCTCCTAAGGTCGATTTAGGTTCAGCTGGAGTTTTCATATCAGTAAAAGGTTTTATTTTGTCCCGTATAGTTGGTGATTCCGGTTCCGACGGTGATTTCATATCAGTCAAAGGTTTCAATTTATCCCGTTTAGTTGGTGATTCCGCTTCAACTGGAGTTTTCATATCAGTCAAAGGTTTTAATTTGTCCTCTCCTAACATCGATTTAGGTTCATCTGGAGTTTTCATATCAGTCAAAGGCCTAACTTTATCGCGTTTAGTTGGTGATTCCGGTTCAACTGGAGTTTTCATATCAGTCAAAGGTTTTAATTTATCCTCTCCTAACGTCGATTTAGGTTCTGCTGGAGATTTCATATCAGTAAAAGGTTTTATTTTGTCCCGTATAGTTGGTGATTCCGGTTCCGACGGTGATTTCATATCAGTCAAAGGTTTCAATTTATCCCGTTTAGTTGGTGATTCCGGTTCAACTGGAGTTTTCATATCAGTCAAAGGTTTTAATTTGTCCTCTCCTAACATCGATTTAGGTTCATCTGGAGTTTTCATATCAGTCAAAGGTTTTAATTTGTCCCGTTTTGTTGGTGATTCCGGTTCCGACGGTGATTTCATATCAGTCAAAGGTTTTAATTTGTCCTCTCCTAACATCGATTTAGGTTCATCTGGAGTTTTCATATCAGTCAAAGGTTTCAATTTATCCCGTTTAGTTGGTGATTCCGGTTC